TTCCCAAGGAAGAATCCTTTTTTAAAAAAACATTTTTTAAAGATTTTACTTATTTATTTGACAGAGAGAAAGAGCACAAGCAGGGAGAGTGGCAGGCAGAGGGAGGGGGAGAAGCAGACGCCCCGCTGAACAGAGAGCCCGAGGTGGGGTATGACTTCAGCCGAAGGCAGACTCTCAACCAACTGAGCCACCCAGGCACCCCGAGATCCTTTTTAAAAAATATTTATTTTGGGGGGACTCCTGGGTGGCTCAGTTGGTTAAGCGTCTGCCTTCAGCTCAGGTCATGATCCCGGGGTCCTGGGATCGAGCCCTGCATCGGGGCTCCCTGCGCCCGAGGGAGCCTGCTTCTCCCTCCGCCTGCCGCTCCCCCTGCTTGTGCTCGCTCTCTCTGACAAATAAATAAATATTTTTAAATAAAATAAAATAATAAAATCTTTATTTTTAAAAGCAGTTCTTTTTCTTTCTTTCTTTCTTTTTTTTTTTTTTTTTTTAGATTTTATTTATTTACTTCACAGAGAGAGTGAGCACAAGCAGGGGGAGTGGGAGAGGGAGAAGCAGGCTTCCTGCCGAGCAGGGAGCCCGATGTGGGGCTTGATCCCAGGACCTCAGGATCATGACCTGAGCCGAAAGCAGAAGCTTAACCGACTGAGACACCCAGGCGCCCCTAAAAATATTTATTTTTTAAAAAAAATATTTTATTTATTTGAGAGAGACAGAGATAGCATGTGAGAGCACAACCAGGGAGGAGAGGGACAAGCAGGCTCCCTGGAAGCCCGACACGGGGATTCCATCCCAGGATCCCAGGATCATGACCTGAGTTGAAGGCAGAAGCTTAACTGCTTAATGGACTGAGCCACCCAGGTGCCTCTCAAAGAAGAGATCCTTTAGCATCTTCTCCCTCCGCTCCTCCCAGCCAATTCCATTACCCCCACTAAGCCAGTTATTGTCTTGGGGGTATAACCTCCATTCCTTCCACTGCAGTTCAGCATCTTCTTTGATCTCCACGGGTGAATGTAAAGCATTTCTCTTTTTTTTTTTTAAGAAGGAATTCTTTTTTTTTATTTTTTTATTTTTTATTTTTTTATCTTTTTTTTTTTTTTTAAAGATTTTTATTTATTCATGAAAGAGAGAGAGAGAGAGGCAGGGGGAGAAGCAGGCTCCCAAGGAGCAGGGAGCCCGATGCGGGACTCGATCCCAGGACGCTGGGATCATGACCTGAGCCGAAGGCAGACGCTTAACCATCTGAGCCACCCAGGCGCCCCGGAATTCTTTTTTTTTTTAAAGATTTTATTTATTTATTTGACACACAGAGAGAGCGAGAGAGAGCGAGAGAGAGAGGGAGAGAGCACAAGTAGGGGGAGCGGCAGGCAGAGGGAGAAGCAGGCTTCCTGCATGAGCAGGGAGCCCGATGTGGGGCTCGATCCCAGGACCCTGGGATCATGGCCTGAGCTGAAAGCAGCGGTTTAACCAACTGAGCCACCCAGGCGCCCCTGTAAAGCATTTCTGATCTCTTTTGAGAGATGGCAATACTGACAAAAAATTGTACCTTCTCGATCCCAGAGTCTCTATCCTCCTCAATCTGTAGGACAAGTTTATGGTTGGGGAGTGGAGGGAGATCTAGACACCCTGTGCTGGAATGCCTGGGAGCTTGAAGAGAAAAAGATTTTCTGCCTAAGTAAACCTATCTGCTAGTTTCAAAATAAGGGGGAGTCTAGAGCCAGGATAACTTGCGAACACCGGCCCCTCACAGTACCACCTAGTGGATAATAAGAAACTAACACATGGGCTCTGAGCCACTGAGGGTAAATGGCTGATTCTAAAATAACTCACTTCCAGACCCCTAGAATCTTTACTATTTACACATTAGTTGGAATCATCTGCAAGGGGGAAAGAATTGCCAAATAAACAGTAAGATAGCCTCAAGAGTAAGAAGTAAGAGAGGAGCTAACTTACTTTGCCATAAGCTACAAGAGCCCACTGGGGAAATAATTAAAACTAGTATCCTTCTACCCCATCCATCCCAAATACAGAGGCTAGAGAGAGAGCGTGTGATGTAAGGGGCCCTAGCCCCTTACTATTGATTTTTATTAGTGGCTTTCAAATTTATTTTCCTGCAAACCAAGGTAAGAAATACATTTTATGTTCTCACTCAACACTGATAGATATAGTGATATACATATATACTGAAACAAAATTATCCTGAGACATATTTACTCCTAATTAAGCATCAGTCTCTGCTATTTTCTATTCTACTCCATTTAGAAATATCACTAGTGGGGTGTGTGGCTGGCTCAGTCGATAGGGCATGTGACTCTTGATCTCAGGGTTGTAAGTTCCAGCCCCACTTGGGTGTAAAGATTACTTAAAAACAAAATCTTGGGGCGCCTTGGTGGTGCGGTCGGTCATGTCCAACTCTTGGTTTTGGCTCAGGTTGTGATCGCAGGGTCATAAAATTAAGCCCCACTTCTGTCTCTGTGCTCAGCTCAGAGTCCACTTGAGACTCTCTCTCCCTCTCTTTCTCTCTCTAAAATAAATAAATCTCTTTTTTAAAAGACTTTATTTATTTTGACAGAGAAAGTGTGCAAGCGAGGGAAGGAGCAGAGGGAGAGAACCTCAAGCAGACTCCGTGCTGAGCAGGGAGCCCAATGCAGGGCTCCATCTCACAACCCTAAGATCATGACCTGAGCTGAAACCAAGAGTTGGACACTTAACCAACTGAGCCACCCAGGCGCCCCTAAAATAAATAAATCTTAAAAAAAAAAACTTGAGAAACAAAACACACTACTAGTCACCACTTTCTAAATCGATTTCATGACCCACATTTTGAAAAACACTAGTTTATGTGCAAATTTTCATCCTATATCAACACTAATTTTTTTGTAAGGAAAGGTGCCCCTACAGATTTTTTTTTTGCCCCTACAGAATTGAAAGCAAACTCATCATATCCCTTTTGTGCTGCCATGCTTGCTCTCCCCTTCCTGCCTTTCTTGAGATGTGAGTCATAATCTTCAAAATCCAACACCACCATTAAGTCTTTCCATTCCCCCAATTAGAAGAAATGTTTCTCTTAGTTATCCCTCAAAACAGTGCTGTCTAGCACTTAATTAAATCTGCCTAGTATTTAATTAGTGAATTATACAACTTAATAGCTTCCTTAAATGAAGGCTCTACAATGTATTCATAATTGCATCCCTCCAGACTGACACAATGACTAACAACATGGCCCAACAAATATCAAAATAAACTTTAATCAAACTACTTAAGATCCAGGAAATTTAAAGGTTTACTGTGGCATACCCTTTTGCAAAGCAATTAATCTCCCCTTAATAGTTTTCAAAGTATAGATTTCTCTAAAACACCTGAACTTAAAAAACATCAAACATCTATATATAAGCCAATTAAGTCATATTTATAAAATCTTTACAATTGTGCAGGGGTCCTACACAAGGGAACTCAGGCTTTTAGCCTCACACTGAGGTGCCCAAGGCAAGTCCTCGTTAACTGAGCTCAGCTGTTCGAGGCACAAATTATCCCTCATCTTCTGTTTCTACACATGGCTTGTGGCCTTATTTATTCAATTATTTGAGAATTTACTATTTGGGGTACCGGGATGCAGTGATGATAAACAGTCCCAGGGCTCAAGGAGTGCAATGACTTTTTTTTAAGATTTTATTTATTCATTTTGAAAGAGAGAGAGAGACTGAGCATAAGCAGAGGGAGAGGAAGCAGACTCCCCGCTGAGCTGGGAACCCAACGTGGGGCTCGATCCCAGGACCTGGAGATCATGACCTGAGTCGAAGGCAGACGCTTAACCATCACAGCCACCCAGGTGCCCTGGAGTGCAATGATCTAATGAGGAAGAAGAGGGCTAACAAGTGAACAAGCATAACAAAGTACTGTAATAAATGTCATTACAAACCTAGGTAAGGAAGCAAGTTTAGAGAGGCACCTAAATTAATATTGGAGTGTAACGGAAGTCTTCCTAGAGTGGATGACATTGAGATCCAAAGACTAAGGAAGAGTATTATAGGCAGAGGGACCCATAAGGGCAAATGACTGAAGGTCAGAGAGAATATGGCTCATTCAATGAATAGAAAGTAGTCAGTACAGTTGGAGTGGTTTGGCCAGAGTTGAGGGATGGCAAAAAATGAGGCCAGATTGTGTGGGACCTTATGAGTCAGGCTAAGAACTTGGAACAACTAAGACAGTTCATTACAGTGAAGAACATTACAGTTCATTACAGACCTCCATTGCTCTCTACACTAGCAGCTGGATAGAAAGAAAGCTTGTGATAAGTTGCGGGGGCAGGGGGAGGTCAATCGCATATGCAAAAATTAAGTGACAGCTCTTTTTGGCATAAATACCTCTTCTTGTATTAGTTTGTCCCACAATGCCATCTTGGGGTGGCATCTGAGAAGGTAAAATTTCAAAAGAGCTTCAGAAAGAACCAGTAAGGGAGGTACAAAGGCCCCATTGCTATGCAGCATGAGAATAATGACACACATAAATTAACATGTGAAATTAATGTTCTAAGTTGTTCTAAGTTTCATTTTATTATAACCTAATTACTATTCACTGAAGTCTGAGCAAACATGTATAGAAACCAGTGTTGCTAATTGAGTGATACACTCACAATTTTTTAAAAAATTAAAAGAAGTAGGGGCGCCTGGGTGGCTCAGTTTGTTAAGCATCTGTCTTTGGCTCAGATCATGATCCTGAGTCCTGGGATCGGGCCCCATGTTGGGCTCCCTGCTCAGCCGGGAGTCTGCTTCTCCCTCTCCCTCTGCTCCTCTCCCTGCTCATGCTTGTGCTCTGTGTCTCATTCTCTCAAATAAATAAAATCTTTAAAAAATAAAATAAATTAGGAGTATTATTCCCAACACTTGTCTTCCTGTACCAAACTGAAGGAAATAAAACAACTACTAGAAGTCTAGAAGCTGAAAAGAGAGGGACAAAGCCAGACATGTTGTCTACTTGAGTTTATTCTGTTCTTTAAAAAAAAAAAAAAAAAAAAAGGTGAGGGATGGAGGGAGAAATAACCCATAAACACTGTGAACAGGAACCGAGACTCCAAGACTTGGGTGTACTCCCTCTACCCTCGACCTCAGTTCTGCAAGATTCCCACCCACCCAAACTTCTTTTCAACAAGACACCCAAATCAGCAGCAAAGGTACCTGGGGTAGTCACTGAGATTTTCAACACTGGGAATGGGAGGGAGAAAAGTCCAAAAAATCGGAGTTGGGAAGAAGAGGGAAGGAATGACGGCGAGGCGAGGCTCTGGAGGACGGAATTGGGCCAGGAGAGGTGGAAGTGAGTCAGTACGAGGGTACGCCCTCCTGACCGCGGCTGCCCACATTCCCCAGGACCCCAGAGCGCCCCCTGGTTTGTTCTGCAGTCCATCCCCCCCTCCCCAAAGGCCTCACAGGCCCAGCTCCAAGTCCTCGAGCTCCTCCTGTAGCGCCCTCCTCCTCGCTAGCTTCTCCAGCTGCTCTTTGCTGGGCTGGCTGATTGCCCCAGCCTGGATCCGCTGCTGCAGCTCTTCCACCTGCCGAAGCTTCTTCTTTAGGCTCTTGATCTTCTTGGCCTTCTCAGTGCTGACGGCTGAGTCAGGCTGCTCAGAGGCAGCTGCAGGGGCTGCCCGGGAGCCCTGCGGAGCACTGGGGAGCTGGGCAGTCTCTCCCAAAGACACCTTATCGAGAGTCCGGCTCAAGGCCTCCGCCTCCCCCTTCTCCTGCTGCTGCCGCCGCTTCTCCTTCCGCTTCAGGTTGCGTTTGGCTGTCTTGGAGAGGCCTGGTTCGCCCCCTTCAGGCCTGGACGGGGTGACAGGAGCAGTGGCCTCAGGGCTCAGACCTGGGGGCAGTTCTGGCTTACTCTTGAAAAACTTCACATACTTGTTCTCATACCTGCAGGGAAGAGAGGTCAACAGTTCTCAAAGAATCACTGACTTTTGGAGCCCTTTTCTTAACCTTCCAAATCACTTCAGCCTTTTCACTTTCTTGCTTCTTTCCTCTCCTGTGGTCCCTCTGCAATTTTCCCCTGTTCTGCAGACTATGGGAAGGTCTCTAGGTCTCAAAGTTCCCGGTCTCTGAATGTTATTTGGAGGTTCTGAAGGACAGAAGCCATAGAACAGGACTAGGCATTTGTAACCCCCCTCCCACATCCCTGAATCTCAGCCCCCTCTCCTCTTCTTTTTCAGATAGGTGCTCCCTCCTTCCATTTCCTAGGGTCTTGGGATCAGGAGAGTCTTCTTTTCTGTAGGGACCCCATTAAGTACCCCCTCCTCACGCCTAACCACGCACACTGGGACTTCCTCCTGGGGCACATAGCCTTCTTTCACCCTCCGTTGCTTGCGCCAGGTCCCGTCAGGTCGTTGTGTTGAGGCGATGTATTTGCCTGCAATGAGAGAATTAAGTTACATAGTTACTCTTCCTAATTTTCAAATAGTTTCCAATTTGAAACAATGCATGAATGCACACAGCTTTCCTTAGCATCCATCCAGCCACTAGATGCAACCATGAAGGCATCCTTTTCTCTCATCAACCTTCAATCCCTCTCTTGTCATTTATTCACTGAGTGCCCAAACCATCCCTACCCTCAGGAGTTTGGGGTTTTTTTAAGGATTTTATTTATTTATTAGAGAAAGAGAGCACGCACGCGCATTGGGGGAGGGATAGAGGGAGAGAATCTTCAGGCAGACTCCCTGCTGAGTGCAGAGCCCGATGCAGGCTTGGTCTCACGACCCTGAGATCATGACCTGAGCCGAAACCAAGAGATGAACGCTTAACCAGCTGAGCCACCCAGGCGCCCCAAGAGTTTCTATTTTTATACTATTTTCTACTTTTAATCTAGCTGGAAAGATAGGACAGACAAAGAGGAAGAGTTTAAAAAAAAAAAAACACAAGACAATAGCATGGGGGCATCAAAAGGCAATAACTGAATAAGAGGCCAAAAGGGGGCAAAAACAAGAACTGTAGGAAGGAGAAATGACTGGAGATGTACAGAGGGTAAGTTTTATTAAGATAGGTCATGAAAAACAGGTCAACTTTTAAGGATCCATACTACAAATATAAAAGCACCAGTACACAAGGATATATGTAAAAGATGTTTGTTGCTGCGTTACTTAAAATAGGAAAAACTGAAAGCAACTTGGATGGCCATCAATATTTGAGTGCCTGAATACATGTGGATCATCCACATGGGGAACACCATGCTGTTATGAAAAAGATTGTCAAGATATAAATGCACTGACTCTGGCTTGAATGGTGCTCATGATATACTAAGTGAAAAAGCAAGTGGCAGGACAATGTGTAGAGTATTCATCCTCAAAGTTTTTTCTTTCAGGATCCCCCTTCCACTCTTATTTTGTAGTATCATCCATTTTACTATGCAATATTAAAAAAAAAAAAAACAGCGGCCTTGCGTGGCTCAGTCAGTTAAGTGTCCAACTCTTGGTTTTGGCTCAGGTCATGATCTCAGGGTCGTGGGATGGAGCCATGCGTCAGGCTCCATGCTCAGCAGGGAGTCTGCTTGAGATTCTCTCCCTCTGCCCCCCCAAAATAAATAAATAAACCTTAAAAAAAAAAAGGGTGCCTGGGTGGCACAGTCATTTAAGCATCTGACTCTTGGTTTTGGCTCGGGTGGTGGTCTGGGGGTTAAGAGATCAAACCCCTGCATCAGGCTCAAAGCTCAGCTCGGAGTCTGCTTGAGATTCTCTCTCCCTCTGCCCCCCCCACTCATGCTCGCTCTCTCTCTCAAAAATAAATATTAAAAAAAACAAACATACTTGTTAATCTCACCAGAAAAGTCTTTACTGGGAAACTGTCAAGCTCACAGTGGCAAATACAAGTTTTCCAGAATTCTAATTTTTACTTGAAGGCTTCAATTTTACCACTGGCAACAAATACTATCAGTTGTTTTCCTTGAAATGACAGGCTCACTTCCTTCATTTTCAGGAAAATGCCTATCAGATACCCAGTTCTCAATTATAAGTTTGTCAGCGGTTCTTATACATAAAAATGGTGTTCTGTGAAAAGGAAGCCTGTTTAGCTTGCAACTTGTGGACAGCTGCGCCAGTGCTTTTCCTTAAGACCCCACCTTACTTCAGTATGCAGCCGAGTGTTTCATCCTCACTTCCCAGGTAGTCCACAGAGAACATTAAAAAGATGAGTAACTTTCAATTATAAAATGAGTAAGTTCTGGGGAATCTAAGGTACAGCATGGTAACCATCATTAACAGAACTGTATTGTATACTTGAAAGTTGCTATAAGAGTAGACTTTAACAACAAAATGGTAATTATGTGAAGGATGTGTTAACTAACCTTACTGTGGTAAACATTTCACAAACTAACATGTATCAAATCATCACATTGCACGCCTTAAACCTACACAATGTTATATATCAATTATATTTCGATAAAGCTGGAAAAAAGTAAAAAGATGTGTATTCAAGGGCCAGGGTTTAATAAAATTAGTAAATCTTAGTGTTTAATCAAGGATATTCTTTTTTTTTTTTTTGATTTTTATTTATAGTGACAGAGATAGCGAGAGAGAGAGCACAAGCGGGGAGGAGAGGGAGAAGCAGGCTCCCGCTGAGCAGGGAGACCGACGTGGGGCTCGATCCCAGGACTCACGACCCAAGCCGAAGGCAGACACTTAACCAACTGAGCCACCCAGGCACCCCTAATCAAGGATATTCTTAAGTGAAACTGGCATTATTTACCGCAAGCATGTGGCAGTGAAGAGCACAATGAGTGGGAGTTGGTATAACTACCTTGATTAGTGCTAAGGGGCCACCAGTTTCATCCGCCTTTGCTTTTGCACCCTCAGAGCAAATGTCAACCCAGCAAAAAAAGGCAATTAACATCTTAGTATATAATAAAAATAGTTATGACTTGCAGACCTCCTGAAAGGGTCTTAGAACCTCCAAGGGTCCTGGACAACATTTTGAGAACTGCTGGTGTAAGGCATGCTCCCAGTCTCATTGGGGCAAGGAGCAGCACTTAATAGTTCATACGGTCTATGCACAGGGGCAAGGAGAAAGGTGTGGAAGGACACATACCAAGATACCAAGCCTTTAATGCTGGCTATCTTAAGAGGGCAACCTGGAAGAAGAGGTAACAGAAACCATTAACCATTAATATATATACTTTCTGCCCTCATAGATATCTTTATTTATACCATTAATATGTTTTTAAAAATCTTATATATACATATATTATCTTGTATTATGTGTTGTGTTTTGTTTTGTTTTTTTTTTAAGTAGGCTCCACAACCAACGTGGGGCTTAAACTCACAACCCTGAGAGGAAGTCACATGCTCCATCAACTGAACCAGCCTGGCGCCCCATGTATTACTTTTTTTTTTTTTTTAAGATTTATTTATTTATTTATTTGAGAGAGAGAGAATGAGAGAGATAGAGAGCACGAGAGGGCAGAGGGTCAGAGGGAGAAGCAGACTCCCTGCCGAGCAGGGAGCCTGATGCGGGACTCGATCCCGGGACTCCAGGATCATGACCTGAGCCGAAGGCAGTCGCTTAACCAACTGAGCCACCCAGGCGCCCTTACTTTTTTTTTTCTTTATTACTTTTGTAAAAAGAAAGAAAGATTTGTAAAAGAAAAGTAAAAAATCAAGTCTAGAGGCACCTGGGTGGCTCAGTCGGTTAAGCGTCTGCCTTCGGCTCAGGTCATGATCCCAGGGACCTGGCATCGAGCCGGAGCCCCATGTCAGGCTCTCTGTTCAGCGGGGAGCCTGTTTCTCCCTCTCCCTCTCCTTGCTGTTTCCCCTGCCTGTGCTCTCTCTCTGTCAAATAAATAAATAAAATCTTTTTTAAAAAAAGTCAAGTCTAAGTCCTCCCATATGGACTATATATTGTTCCATGAATTGGCTTTTTGTTCAAAATGCAAGTATCATTAATAAATTAAAACTAAAAAAAAATTGTTAAAGAAAATGGGTAAGATCTGACAGGTAGAAGAGACTGGACAAAGAAGCAGCAAGCAAGGAAAGGTATGGATGTGGGAAGGGGCGTGGAGTATTGAGAGAACAAAAAGAGGAGTCCGGGTGAATCAGACAGTTTGTGTTAGGGAATAATAAGAAAATGGGGCCAGATCTTGGAAAGCCTTCAACACAACGTCGAGAAATTTGAAGTTTACCTGGTGAATGAAAGGCACTGAGGGCATCACTTGCTTAAATGCAACAGTTTAAAGACAAGAGTATAAACTGAAGAATGAAAAAGCTGATGCTTCATAGAGGGAGGACTGACTGAAGCTGCGCTTTAAAGAGTCAAACTCATGTAAGTAAACAAGGAGGCAGAATGGATTCGAAATAGAAGCTCATCCTGAAACAAAATGTCACCCATGGGAACGGAGATGGCATGCTCAGGAGACGGTGGCTGAATCAGAGGCCTGGTGTAGAGCAGATGAGGGGGGGTACACTCAGACCTTTAAATGCCAGCTAAGGAGTTTAATATCTGGCACATGGTATGCATTCAATAAATATCTGTCCAATGAATGACTCTTTTATCCAAAGCAGTGTTTTAGGGCAATTAATCTGACAGAATGAGGGTGCCTGGGTGGCTCAGATGGTTGAGCATCTGCCTTCGGCTCAGGTCATGATCCCAGGGTCCTGGGATCAAGTCCCGCATCGGGCTCCCTGCTCCTTGGGAGCCTGCTTCTCCCTCTGCCTCTCTCTCTCTCTGTCTCTCATGAATAAATAAATAAAATCTTTAAAAAAAAAAAAGATTTAATCTGACAGAATGAAAAGGTGAATTGGCAAGGGAAAACACTGGAGACTCAGGAAATCAGGGGAAAAAAGGGTGCAATGACACCGGCATGAGAGACAGAACTGGCTGAACTGGTGAGAAGGGAAAGGAAGAGACCGATGCCAGATCCATTATCAAAGAATCAACAACACCTGGGAAGTCACTGATGGGGGAGGGGTAAGGGGCTAAAGTAAAAAATAATTCAACACTTTTAGTAACTCCAACCTTGAGAATTTAGCATAAGGAAATACTTCCAACAGAAAAAAAGCAAAAACAGAAAAACAAGAAAGGGATGGGACGCCTGGTTGTCTCAGTCAGTTAGGCATCTGCCTTCAGCTCCGGTCATGATCCCAGGGTCCTAGGATCGAGTCCCACATTAGGCTCCTTGCTCAGCGGGGAGCCTGCTTCTCCCTCTGCCTGCCCCTCCCCCTGCTTGTGCTCTCTCCCTTTCTCTGAGAGAAATAAATAAAATCTTTTAAAAAATAAAATGAGTGCTGCAGAGATTAATTCTAAAAAAAGAAAAAAGAGAAGGGAGAGATAATCATGGGAAAATTAGGGCATTATCTATAAAGCGCTAAAAATTAAAAACAAACTTCAAGTCCAGATATATAGGAACAGTGGAAAATACATCCACTA